CGCGGAAGAAACACGCGTGCATATTTCTTTTGGGGATTAAAAAAAAAAAAATAGGGTAAAGTGGGGGTGGGACGAAAAAAAAAATCTCTAGTGTTGATTGCGGACACAGTTTAGTCCCTGCAGGAATATCACAGCACCGTGATGTCGCGTTACAGAGGGATGTCCCGGTGCAACGGCGAATGTGAACGCAGGCAGCGCATGAATATTATCTCCAGCATGCCACTTCGGAAGTAGGTCACCGCTCACCGATTTGTTCACCATGTCTCCAGCTACTGTGGGCTGCTCGGTCCGCGGATCGCTCCCCTCCAGGTCCACAGCCCGACGGAGTACAAACTGACCATCAGAAAAACAGGACGGACGGGATTTTTTTTTTCTTTTTTCCGAAAAGGGTTGGATCTTGGATTTTATTTATTTTTTGTCTTCTTCCGACGGGACGCGCAAGGTAATGATGAACCGCGGCTGTAATTCCCGTCACAGTTTTGTTGAGATGATCGGATCGGTGGGGTAGCTCTGCTCCTAACAACTCGGCTGTAACACGAGCTTTCCCCCCTAATGATATTGATATTAACTAGCAGCCCTCTCCTCCTCCTCCTCCTCCTCCCCTGCCATCCTCCCCGGCGATTGATCGAGGATGTTCGGATGTTTTAGACTCGTTTCCCTCCGCCGTGGAGCTTTTTTCACTTCTCATATCACAAGCCCGCACTCCTGCTACGGCATGCTGTCAGATTAACGCCGTCCACCACCATGGCCAACTACAAGCTCCAGTAGGCGAGTCTGCTTCTTTTCCACAGCCTGATTACAATGCATGCATAACGCTTTCCCCCTCTTCATTGCCCATTTTGTCTCTGCTCAGTGCAATCCAGATCCATGAGTGCATTTTTGGGGTGTGTGTGTGTGTGTGTGTGTTTGTAACAGCTGCTGTCTGAACCTGCATGGAGGTGAAGGGAGCTGGTGTGGTGGTGGTGGAGGATGGCTAGTGTTGGTGGTGTTAGTGGTGGTTGGTTGGTTGGTTGGTGGTGTAGGACTGTTGAGCTGCTGATTTTGCTCCAGGAAAAGTGGACTTGGTGATGAAGCCCCGCACACACACACACACACACACACACACACAGCACCATCAAACCAGTTTAGATTCCTGAGAGCTCCTGCCTCTGGGGCTTTTTCTCTCATGATGACAGCTCTACACCATGTCCTTATGAACGAGAAAGCCACCTACAGTCAGTTAATATGGCATCAGGAGGAGAGAGAGAGAGAGAGGGTGAACTCCATGATGCTAAATTATTATTAAGTAGGTTTTATGTGTCAATTATGCTCCATTTACTTTAAATTGCATGGCGTTTAAGGGAGGGTTCTTTAATTCTCTGCAAATTTCAGCAGCAGAAAATGTGTCTTTCCATTTGATTTTCTGAATCAGTGATCACAATAATAATAATGAAATGGGATTAAAAGGGAAAATAAATAGCTTGATACTAATTTTCTTTCTTGTGAAATAGTGTAAGAGATGATTAACAGGACAGGAGACTGTTAAAAACATCTTTCCTGACAATACGTCATGTTTTTCAGTTTTTTTTTGTGAAATACTGAAGATTTTCACCCTTGAAAATCCGTCAATTGAGCCAGTCCACTGTGGAAAAATCACTCTTTAGGTAACCTGCTCACAATTCATGTCCACACAGAGTTCCTAACCTGTGATGACAGGATCATAAATGAATACTGACAAGCCAAAAAGCTTGGGAAACACTGATCCAGATGACTGGTTGCCAGATTTTTGGGGTTATGCCCCCTTAAAACAAAGCAATTCTTTCTTGTGACCCCTCATCACAGGTTTAATTTGTCTGTAAATGGTGACCAGTTTAAAGTGTTTTTCCATTCTCACACTTTTAACTCTCCAGTATTTCAGCTATTAAAAAAACATTTGATGAATAAATCAGAGATGTCACTTTGGACCGTTTCTTGTAGGCATACTTTAAATTTAAAAATACAAAACATTTGTAGAAACAATCCACGTTTATTTACAATATGTTTCCAAAAGTAATGAGTGAAAATGATGTATTCAACTAATAATCAGTGGTTTATCTATACATCTTTAAACTTAAAGGCAAAATCATCCACAACAATCACATATGGAGGCAACATTTTATTTTACTTTATAAGCAAGAAATGGTTAGAAAAAAGATTTGCCACATAAAAAAGTTTATATTTAATCGAAAACAAAATGTACTGAAACAAATGTTGGGTGTGCGTGTGTGGGTGCATGCAGCTATTGGTGTTGCTGCTGAGTGTGCCTCTAAAATGGCAACCTGTTCAAAGTTTTTTAACAGCATGAGAAAGCACAGCAGTATTAACTCTAACATAAAAATGTGTTGTTTTATTTGTTGCGGTCAGTGTGGTGAGGCCCAACCAGGGAAAAATAATGATGCTCTTCATTGAGCTCCCGTTCTTCCATTGTGCATGCCTGTCTTATTCAAATGAAGCAACTTGATTTGATATCCTCGGACAGAAACTCAATGTGAGGCTCCTTCTGCCCTCTTGTTATCTGGAAATTAAATTTCCCTCTCATGGATTGCATTTCACGGTTCACCGAGTCATTTGGCAATAAGGGCAGACTGAACTATGAGATGGTTTGCAAATGTCCAGCCAGATAGCTGTATGTCCATTCTGGAGTCAAAGTGGGTTTGCATTTGTGGTACGACTCAACCCTGAGTATGTTCTCAGTGATTCTAAGATGACATACAAGGCTGCAACAGATCACAGATAACAAGAGTCACTGGGTATGTTCAGGTTTTAGTGTAGCATATTTTGAATGTTGTTAGTGAGTGAAACAATGCTTGAGATACAGAATTAAATTCCTCACACTGTCTGCACACTCTCTAGAAACACTCTTGGATTTTCCAACCCCTCATTTGGTGTTGCACAATAGCAAGTCTTCAAAATAAAAGAATAGCAGGTTTGTTGCACACTTGGTGATGAAATGAAGTCATATAAATATTTAACTGCATGAATAAGCTTATTATTATGCAGTGCAGAACCTGTTTTAGCAGAATTTGTGTGCTTTTCTGAGTCACATCCCGTCATCAGTCTCTTTGACGCATGTTACTTGGTTGAAGAATTTAATTTTTATGGCCTGCTAATATCATAACAGGGAATGGCGTGTTGGCAAACAGGTGTGTGGAAAAGTAATTTTGCCCTGATGTGGGATTTAAAAAAATTATCCTGGAAATTTGACCCAATATGGAGTATGATTGCAGATGAAACCTGTTTTCACATGAAGTTGGGATTTTATTTGTGAGATGATGCATTTTCATTCAAACTATAACAAAAGATATTACTCTGAAACGATACTGATGTTTACAATGTGTGCTCCGCTCATAGGAAACTCCACCACATATCAATTCAGACGCTTCCTAAACTAAGAGCCAGCCACCAGGGGTTATTGAGATGTTTTGGTTTCACTTCTGTTATGCTGCTGCATGCGCACCCTGCAGCAGCAGCCTGTGCAAAAAGTTTCTGGATGTTGTGGCTGAAGTCTAGAGTAGAGGAGTCATATACAACAGAGAGCAGATGGGCCAGATTAACATTTTTTGGGCAAGTGATGTTAAGCAAGAACAAATCATATGCAAGGAGTGCATGAGACTTTCTGCGCCACAGTGCTCTGTTTATTTAAATGAAAGTGCAATAAAAATATTTTGCCCCCACAATCAATGTCATAGGCTTAGCTTGTTAAAAAATCCTAACTGATCGTGTGTGTCTCAGATATCAGCGGAAACTGACATTCGGCTTTAATCCCTCCTGAAATAGTGTGTGATTGTGAAAGATGAATGGTTTTCTGGCTGAAGAGTCACTTAATATAAAAAAAAAGACCCGTGTTGACTTAGTTCTTGGAGGTCAAGTGGCATAATTGTGTTTCAGGGCTGCAGCAAGAAGGATGATCTAGCTCTTTATGCTGCACACAGGAGTGTCATTGCATAAAGGTCACTGGCAGTTGAATCGTCAGGAACATTAAAGGTTTTTCCAAAGTGAGGTGTTTTTCTGTTGAGAGAGCAGGAACACTCGTGAACTGCAGAGGATCGTAAAGCTTATTATGCATCTTCTACTATAAAGGTGCTGGAAATGCTTTGATGTAATCTGTACCAGCCTGTTGACATGGAAACTGAAGAGGCTATTGTGTGATGAGTGTTTCTGCCACCAGTTTTGGTGAAATAAGGATCAATTCATAATCATTTGATCATACTGTTGTGTCTAAAGTTTAGACAGTTATTCCTTAATTTTATATCTCACAGTGAGTTTGCTTCTACTTTGACCTTGTAGAAACTGAAATATGTAGTCCTTCGAGGCTTTGCAGTCTTTTCATGTTTAATCTAATTACCTACTCTTTGGTAACCCATAGTACCACTTGCAAGATCAGCTACAGGCTGTAGCTATGGCTAAAATTAAATTGGCGTGGAATTGCGAATTACAGATTCAAGTCACTTCTAAAAGCATCCATCATATCAAATATTGAATACACCTAAATGCCTCATTTGTTTCTGCTCTGTGCTGATGTTCTTTAGCTGCGAGTGGGTGACTGCTCGTAATGTTGGGCTCCTGGTGGACTGTGTGAGTCATTAAATGTGCTTCAACATGGGTTCGAGGAGCTGAAAAGGGTCGTCATTGATACAAAGGGAAATAGTTTTTTTTTCTGGTTTTCTTTGCTGCAAATATCGAAATATGGTACACCAGAATTAATTAACATATTATGATTTAAGTGTAGAAAGCACAAAAGGTTGGAGTACATATAGCCTCAGGCTCAGTTTCTCCTCCATCCTGTGTGTTCAGTGTGGTTTGCATGTTATGGAGAAAGGTAGTCTTAAGTGGCCATGTTCTCTAGGGACCTGGAAATTGACAGCAAACTAAGTAAAACCGGTTGTTAAATAATGCATCAGAAGATCCTGTCTGTTACGTGCAGTCACTCTCAGATTCTATGTCTACGTGTGTCTAAATGTCTGATCTGTGTCTCTCCACAGAGTGTATGGACCCAGGTAATGATCCATGATGATGCCTACTGAAGGGTCTATCTGAGCTGAAACCCACCATCGTAGAACTCTTTGGATGAAGAGGAGGTGGTGGATCTACTCGCGGACGCCGAGACCATGGTGAAAGCTCAGCGGAGCCAGCCTGTGAAATGCAGGAAGACCCTGAAGGAGAAGGCAAGCAATGAGAAAGGAGGTGGTGTGAAAAAAGGGAAAGAGACAAAGAATGTGCTGAGAGGAAAGAAAAAGAAGGAAAAGAAAGAGTCACATCGACATAGAAAGAAGACACTGGCAGTGGGTGATGGAGAAGCACTGGACTGTTGCGTCCTGCTCACTCGTCTAGAGGAGAAAAGAGTTGTGGGTAAAGAAAAGGATGCACCAAAAACTGGGAAACAAAAGAACGTTAAAGTAAAAAAGAAGCTGCACTCCAGCTCCATTCAAAGAAGGACCAAATCTGGACTTAAGAAAACTTCCACAGCCAATCAGCAAGCACTGGAACCAAAAATCAACCAATCTGACGCCTTACTCATGTTGCCCGCACCTGTCTTTGAGCCCCGCAGGCGGAGAATGGCATCTCTCAATGCTGAGGCTGTCAACAGCCTGCTGCTCTACAAAGACGATTCTCTCACGTCAAATCTCACAAAGAAACGGCAGCCTTCTAATGAAGATCCAGCTAAAGAGAGTCTCACTAAAACTGAAAAAACAGGTCATAAAACCAAAAAGCTTCCTCCGGGAGGGAAGGCAGACCCAAAAGAAAGACCTAAAAAACAGAGGCGGTCAGCAGCGGAGGCTCAGAACATCGACTGGTTGGCTTTGTTTGCACCAACGCCTCGGCGTCAGGCCGGCCTCACTGCTGCGACGCTGCTAAAACTCACCAGTGCCACATATGGAACCAAACGGCAAAAGAAGATGGAGTCCAAGCCGGTGAGTGAAGCAGGAGTTACAACTCTGGATGAGATTAGCGTTAAGCCAGTGTGCGGGGGAACAGCGCTGACCAAAAGAACAACACATCCCAAACATGAGGACCAACTAAAGCACAGAAAACAGGGTACAGAGGATCCAGTTCATTCCCAGCAGGGCTCTACCATCCAGGGTTGCTGTAGTTTGTGTAAAAGTGAGGCTGTGGATCCAGAGTGGAAGGGCACCACAGGAGGAGAGGAGTGTCTCAAACATGCGCTCCATTGTGGCTCTTCGCTGGGATTCTCCTTGAAAACAATCAAAGAGGAGCAGGTGGAGACTGAGGTGTCTTCCTGCTACTGCTGCTCCCAGGAGAGGTGCGTCGAGTACTGTCACAGACTGGCCCTCTTCCTGGACGACAAAACCTTCAAGGAACCAGAGGACAGCTCGCTGTCTGAGGTGTTCCACCATCACCATCACCACCACCATCATCATCACCACCATCTTCAGTCCCCCCACTCCGTAACCCACCCAGCAGCCATAACCATCAGCCCGCGCACGTACACCTGTTTCCCAGGCTACTACGTCCACTTCAGCCACCCGGACAACTCCCCCTCTCCCATATCACCCCTCACTTTATGCCCAAGACGCGGCAAGAGACCCAAGCTGCTCCCCAGCACCGGTCCGCAGCCCTCAGGGATTACCCATCCAGTGTACTGCTGCACCTCAGTGGAGGCGTGCTACGGAGAGCCCTGCAGGATCAACAGCTACTCTTCCTATACCAGCGTGATTCCAGCCATCGCCAGAGGCGGGTGCTCCTTCAGCCCCACAGACTGCACTAACTGTAACCACAGCATCAAAAGAGGTGAGCAGACAGAAGATTGACATTACTAGGTTTACTTTTTGTCAACCTCCAGCAGTGTGTCAGAGTTGTTTTTGAAGAATTACACAGGCATCTGTCTAGGTGGCACTTGTGTAACAACACTGACAACTTCCTCAAGTGCCTCAGATGTGAGGCAAAAGGACAGCAGAGTGTCCATCGTGTCTTTGATTTTTGAGTGGTCAAAGGATGTGCATATTTACTGCTACAGCAGAGTGAAGTGTGGCAGTGATGTAGTGAAGGTGCATTTAAATCTTGTTGGTCCACTTAAATCTTAAATCCAAGGGTTCACTTACTTTCAGCCACAGGTCACATCAGCTCAAATCATTTTATCCATATTTTTATTTGTGGTATAGAGTTTATTTAGGTGTTTAGGTTCAAAGCATTATCATGAGTTCACTGTAACACAAACCTCAAAGTAAGCCATAGAAAAAAGAATGTCTTCAGAGGAAAGACTCATTAAGTGAGGCGATCTTTTGACTTAGTGGTCTAAGAAAGTGGTTCTCAGTGTATTTTTGTGTCAATGTTCCCCAAATTAATACATATCAGGCCATGAACCCATATTTGATAAGATGTAGTCTCTCTGATCCCTGTCTGATAACATTTAGTTATTCTGTAACAGATAAACAGTGAAGAATGTGAAACCTATGAATAAAATAGTTATTCTTATATATTCTGTCATTGGGCTAACTTTTACTCCATGAAATAATAGTGAAATTAAAATATTCCCCATTTTCCTGGGGACCCCCTGGAACAGCAGGACCTCAGGTTGAGAACCACTTCTGACCATGTCAAATGTTTCTAGTTGGGGACCTTTTGTAGCGTGCCATCCTGTTTGCTCTCCACTGTCAGATGAAGTAAAAATGCAAAAGAAAAGAAAGCATTAGCTTTGTGTACCAGCTCTTGTAAAATAGGCAGATATTCAAGTAGAAGATGTTATTTAGTTGGGTCTGATTAAAAGGTTACTACAGTAGTTAAGTGTTGTTTAGTGACATTATCAGGGAGACTTTCTCAGACTCCCTGCAGAGTCACAAAAGAAATGAAACTATTTTCACAGCCTGAGTAGCACTCCCTGTGAAAAGGAACCTAAAACTTCATGTGTAAAATCATTGTCCCCTTTTAAGTAAGACAGTCAGATTCCCTAATAAGTTTGAGTATTAAACATTCATGAGCACACTATAGCTATTAGGTTATTTTGTATGCTGTGGCCCCCCTAATCCGGCTGCCAAAGCAGTACAATGTGCTGAGAATAGCTATTATGTCAGGCATTTTTAATCTTCCATTTTTGGAATGTCACTTGAGTGGGAAGTAACAAAAAATATCAGATAAAGGGCGAGACCTCTTTTGTCTAAGTTTGAATACAAGCGGCCGGACAGTGAATACAAGGCCTGTGCAGCTGAAACCTAATGAGCTGATTGTATGAGCTCCAGAGTCAGCAGTTAGTTACTGTGCTCAAGTCAGAGACGTGAACCAGAACAGGAAAACTATTTGTGATGTCTGTGGTATAACGCACAAACAGTGTGTGTACGTGAGTGTGTGTGTGTGTGTGTGTCTGCCTGAATGTGTGTGTGTATGTATGGTGAAAACCCCTGAATGTGACCTCAAAACAATATTAATAACACAGGAACACACACTAGCGTACTGCTCCACCTTAGCTGCACTCTCACTCTGTCTGTGGTCTCCAGAAGCCAAAACCATGTCAAAGCTCTGAGTATTGAGACTCTTGTCTACAAGAGCACCATCACCCTTAATCTTATTGGAGATATTTAGGTTTTTACAAATCGTTTTTTTTTTTCATGGAAGACAATCTGACATGGCACAGTAGTAAAAGCACATGTATAAATAATCAAATAATGGATTCAATTTAGCTGCTTTCCTGGTATTGTGCATGTTGGCTCACTGTCACGCTGTCATGGCTTACTAGGATGCTTGAATAGAACAGAGCCATTGTTAAGGTTATTAGAAACGTCTGCACTTTTCCTGCTATGTGACAAATCAAAATGTATAATGGTGAGAAGGTCTATGGTCCACCCACAGAGGTGCTGACACTTTACTGCCTGAGTAGATCTCCTCTCAGTGCTGACTGTGGGTGTGCAGGTCAGGTTTGATTGACATCTGCATCGTTTTCCTGTTCCATTCTGTTGCACCTGTTGCGACTAAACAACTTGCATCTTATTGATGACCAGTAGCTTGTCGTGGATAATGTTACATAATGTTTGTAAAACTTAAGATAATATTGGTCGGTTACAGTCAGTTTACAGATTTTACAACTCTCGTTCAGTAAACTTTGCATAGTCTTCCTTTAAGTAAAAGTTCCAATAATACAGTTTAAAAAGGCTCAATTACAAGTAAAAGTCCTGCATTTCAATTTTACATAAAAAAAAGTATTAGCTACCCACTGAGTTACCTCTACTGTGTTAATGTTGTAGCCGGTTGAGGCTGATACTTTACAGTACACGCTGTTGGATTATCTATAACAATACAAAGGTTTTGCACATAAAATGTTCATTTGCAAAGTCACTATTCATTAGGGTTGCAACGATATGAGATTTTCACAGTACAGTAACCGTATAACAATTACTAATATTATTATTATTATTATTATTATTATTATTATTATCAGTTACAATGACCCTTAAAGGAATAAAAACGGAAGGTTTTTTTTTTGGTTAATTGAACCTTTTATTATAGATTCACAAAATATTATGTCATATACTTTTTAAACATAAACAGATAAGCTGATGTACATAGTATGATAACTGATACTGTGGTATGGCATCTGTATATTGCTGCAATCCTACTATTCACTAGCTGCCTGATGATGAAGAGAGTAAAAAGAGTGAAAAGTACTGTAGTAAGCATAACATGGAAGCACTTAAGTGGAGTACATCTTATTGTTACATATACACACGTCTACGTATGTGTCTAATAATATGTGATTGATATGATTCGGGAGCCTAATGTCCAATGTTAATGTATTCTCCATGGAGGAAATGAAGACTGCTGATGGAGTTTGCTTCCAGGGAGCTGAGAGATCATACAGAAATAAATTGATCATTAATTCAACTTAATGTCATCACCAACTGTGTCATACGAGTGTGCACAACCTGTTTTTATCATTTCACACAGTTAGCGCTAGTGGTTTTCACCTTCAGCTTCATGGGGATGTCTATTGTGTGTATGTGTGTGTGAGAGGTGCTGCTCTGTTAAAGGCCATAATTGACCTTAATTGAGGGTCTGTTTGTTTTTTTCTGCTGCTTCAGCAGAACTAATAACAAGTGTCGTTCATGTCTCTGTTACATAACCTTGTTAAAGGTTCTTGATCACTGTAGCTGCTCCTTAAGGGGCGGTGTACATGTTCTCTATCACTCTACTTCATTATCTTTTGTGTTCCTCCTTCAGACGACTACCCATCAACCCTCAATGACCATCACAGTCCCTCCTCCATCCCCATCTGTCCCAGCCCCAGAGTCCTCACTGGCTGCCCCATTCCCACTGTGCCTCCAGCCGGCCAATCAGTGCCCCACATTCAGACTCCGCTGTCCGACCCCAGCCAACCACAGCCTCCGCTGCAGGTGGCGAAAGAGTGTCCGCAGAGTGCCAAGTCGCCCAGCGGGTCGAGGTCTGGCGCGCGCGGCACCGGCGGCATCAGTTCGGCTGTCTGCCCTCTCAACAGGGACAAGAAACAGAAGCTCGGATCTGCCAGCGTCGGAGAACGAACGGTTGCCAAGCAGCCAAAGAATGGCCGCCAAAAAAACACCAACGGCTGGCAGCCAGTTGGCCTGCCCTTTCAGAAGGAGGTTTTCTCAGTGGTACGTAGAGAAAGTCATGCTGGTGCTGTGTGACGCGGCCATGATGGTGCCGCTTGTAATTAAATGTGATGTAATTTAACTTGTCCTAAGAGAGTTTGGTGCGTTGTCCCACGCGTGTCATCGTCACATTAGGGTTTATTCACAGTTTTTTTGTTTTTTTTTTGAGTTTCATCCAAACACCTGACTGTCCACATTTCTATTGAGCCACAGAAGCCATTCAATACAAATCACATCCTGCAGCTTTTTACTCCACAGCCTCTCACAGCTTATCAGTTTCTGTCTGCTTGAGGAGTCAGTATTTCCTGCTGCCTGTGTTCCCAGGGAGAGGAGACTCTGGTGCTGAGGAAGTGTTTCGAGGGAGTCCAGAGGGACGGGGATCTGATTCGGGTCAGAGACACTGTTCTGCTGAAATCTGGACCTAGGAAGAAGTCTCTGCCTTATGTGGCCAAGATTTCATCTCTGTGGGAAGATCCAGAGTCAGGTAGTGTTTACCTCTGCACATGAGAAGCTGAATTAATGCGGTTAACAACTGAGAACTGAAATGAACTGGTGTGGGTTTCTTTTTCTTCAGGAGAGCTGATGATGAGTTTGTTCTGGTACTACCGTCCAGAACACACACAGGGGGGACGCAACCCCAGTGTACATTGTGAGGTGAGAAGCAAATCCTTTTATACTGGTTTCTAAAGGTCGGCAGGTGTTTGTTAAAATCATATACCAGGACTCCTGAACCATAGCTCCAGTTAACCGTGTGCAAATAGTCGCTATATTAAACTGCAAGTAAGCATGGCTAGAATATGTATGCTTCATGCCATGTTAGCTTTTAAGTGTATCAGGTGAAAATAACAGAACCATGAATTAAACTGACTTTTAACTTTAAATTATATATTCTATATTTCTCTTTTTGTCAACAAACCCTTAAAAAGACCAAAACCAACAATGATTGATAATTTTCTTTGTATACAAAGCCCGATAGAGCTTATTTGTCTGTTTCATTAACCTCCATTGTTGTCCATAATCTAAATTAAAAACACAACAAAGAGCCACACGGCTGTACTAAATAGCACGTCCCTTCATTATCATAAACGTGGCCCCTGTAGTTTATTTTGAGTAAATCCCACACACACCTGCTGCCTTAAGTACTCTCTAACAGAGCACCAAATGCGTACATTATTTATCAATAAAGTCCCCAGCTTACTAAATGAAGCTATATACTTATATTTGTTTTGAAAGATTTACGTCTTCAGTAGGAACAAATGGGTTTGCGGCTAAATGCAATCACATGCTGACTGGGGAAGTCGGAAAGTACTGAGAGACCGATTAAGGCATTGTTGGTTTTGGACTTTCCATGAGATTTGCTGACAATAAACAAATCTGTTGGTATGTTGTCGTGCTATAAGCCCTGTAATACAGTCCAACATGCCTCCATATAAGGAAATAATGGTCACATGGGGGCGTTCTTCACCTTATCTTATATTATGTGTATCTTGTGTATTTATGTTCACTTAATTCTTCTTGTCTAACAAAATACATTTTCATAGGATGTGATGATTAGTTTGCAACACACTAATAAGAGTAACTCTTGAGCCTCTTCCCATTTAGTATTGCCTTCCATTTGTTCCTGTTTGTACACTAGTTTGCATCATGATGAAATTACAATTCAAGAGAAGGCTTCTGCAATTTTTGGCTTAACTCAGCAACTGAAAATGTGTCTCAAAGAGATGAGAGTGAATGAACGAACGCACACACGCAGGCAGACACGTGTTGAGGAGCAGCTTCTGTTGTGCTTGCTTCCTGTTGTCAGTAATCTCCCAGAGGAACAAGTTGCACTTTATTAAATCTCCAGAAACAATAAACCACATGAAGCCTGTCATTTCTCAGCTGCACTAACAAACAACAAACACATCATGGCAGCAGTGTGAGAACAGTAACAGGGCTTTGGCTCCGAGGAAGAAACATATTTCTCCAGTGAATCTGTCTTTACATTGTGAAAGTGACGGTGAGGCAGAAGTGCTCGTGTATGATGGGAGTTTTTTTAGTTTGGAGCTAACCGAACTAAAACACAACTTTCTTTTTCCCAGAATGAGATCTTTGCGTCTCGTCACCAGGATGTGAACAGTGTGGCCTGTATTGAAGACAAATGCTATGTCCTAACATTGGCACAGTATTGCCGGTAAGATAAAAGCAAGTTATGTTTTAAATTTGTGGCTTCACCATATTTCTTTAGTAAATTTCTTGCATGAAACATACTGCTTTTAAAAGATTACATGGTCCTGCTGAGAATAGTCTACAGTGCTGGTTTTTGAAGCTTTTGCAAATACCCACTGGATTAACAAAAAAAAAAAAAAACATGATGTCTAACATAAGAAGCAGCCAGGTTTTTTCCGTTCTCAGACAGTTTGAAGGTGATTGAGTTTGATCTCCTGTATTTATGCTTTGTTCAGATTTTGTGCCTTGGTAAAACGCCGTAGGGATGGTGTACGCGACAGTGCCGCCTCCCTTGTGGTGCCACCCGTTGTTGGCAACGCCATGCCCACCCACCACTGTGTGCCCGATGACGTCGACCCAGAGCTGGTGTTTTTCTGTCGACACGTCTATGACTTCCGCTATGGACGCCTCCTCAAGAACCTGCAGTAGCATCTGATGGGGCATGACACACAATGCTATGGGACGTATAGATAATGTTACTCTGGTTTCATCCTCCGCAACTTTAATTCGCTACGTACCTACCTGCTGCCTGAGTGAGAGGAACTGGAAGTTTAGGTTGAAGGATTGTGAGATGAGCTTATTTTGTTTTGAAATCTCTTGTTCATACTTACATGTCACACATTTATTTAGTAGGTGTAATGGTCTGTCATATTGTATAAGAGTTAATATGGCAGTATAAATGGTCTTTTTCATACATGGTTCTCTGGTGTCATAGCAGCTGTGTGAAGAACCAGGAACGTACTCTGCTGTAGAAAACGCTACTGTAGCTCTTAGAAATGTGACATTTGATAGATATGAAGAGAAGTTGATGTGAATTACTGTCTGCCTGACAGATATCAGCCATAACTAGAAAGAAAATTTGAGGCATATCATGTCCATGAGAAGAGACAAACAGAGGTTTCTGGGTGGCTGAAGAGTCATTAGATTGCTCTGTAATTTGCAGTTGCTTGATGTCCATACATGAATGTAGAAACGTGCAGTTTTCTACAAGGCCCTGCTTAAAGAAATCTTACAGAAAAACTCTACGGTGAACATCTGTGTTCAAGATGTTATGGGAAACATGCTTTTTTGCTTTCTTGCCAAAAGTTAGAAGATGGATACCACTCTGTGTCTGTCTATGTCTGTACAGTAAATACGAGGCTTCTGCCAGCCAGCGGTTGGTATAAAGACTGGAAACAAGGGGAAAGGGTTTCCCTAAGCTAGCTGTTTTCCCTGGCTGTGGACAGAGCCAGGCTAGATATTTCTCTCTGTTTCCAATGTGTGCTTAGCTAAGTGACTGCTGGCTCCAGCTCCATATGTACCAGAAAGAAATGAGAGGTATCATTATCCTCATCTTAATCTTGGCAAGAAAGAAAATTAGCATGGTTTCTAATGTTTAAATGGTTTCTATGATTTAACATTTACATTTTAATTTGATTGTGATTGACCTGTAGGTCTAGGTCGTAAACTCAGCTGCGAGGAACGTTCTTGATCAGAAGGTTTGATGAAATCCAATTCAACTTTATTACCGCTGATTAAGTACATGGACAGCAAACAATAAAATGTGGACATATTTTGGCCACATCTCTTTTGAGTTTCTGAGATAATTATAGGTTTTATGTTATGTCTGTAACTCTGAAATTCACCTCTTTAGTGATTTTCACAATTTAATACTGGCCTGCACTCTACAAAGAAGCACAGTTCAGTTTATTTGATTTTGCAGTGTGAAGATGTCCATTGAGCCGAGACTGAGGGGATTTTTGTTATGCCAATGCTTAGGAATATTTTACTTTCTCAAAGCTGTTTACCAGAGGTGTGATTTGACATCTGGTGTCAGCTAACTGTATATTTGCATTTATATATGTGGATGAGTGTCTGTTCATGGCAGATGGCACCAGTTAGTCACCTATATTCTTGTTTGTTCACCGAAGAGATGGTGAGTAATGTATTCAGTGTAGCATTTAGATCTGTGATGATGATTCATTCCTATGTTTGAGAGAAGATGTGTATTTATTTCTGTACTGAGAAAATATAATTTATTTTCAAAAGATAATTTTAAAGAATAGAGTTTTAGATGAGTGGCTTTCATTCCTAATTAGAAAGGAAGTTGTCTCTCCTTCTTAGCTGCACTGTCTAAGATGAAAGGGATGTGAGTCATTTGCAATAGTATTTCTGTGACTGATTGAGCTTGCTTGCCCAATACGAACCTATTAAATGTTGTGTTGAGATGTTGATGTCCTCCAGGCAGATTTGAGGACACATTTAGAGCATTTGGAAGGATCTCAGATACCGTGTGAAGGACACCTGCTAACATGTGACCAGAGATGCTTAACCTGCAGGACCAAAACGTACCTTGGCCTCTCCCAGCTTCTTGTTATTATCCTTTCACTTCTCCTCGGATGATAAAGCTTTGCCTCTTCACCTTTAAATGCCGAATGCTAAAATGATTTAAACGTACCTTGCCATTAGCCTGTGCCCTTGATCTTGCTGCCTTAGAGAACATTCCCAGCCTTTCATTTAGAAATGTGTACCGATATCAGCCTGGGGTAATGAAGCTTTTTAGTGTGCTGATCTTGATTCCTAGATGCTTGAGAGGCAAAACTGATCTTCAACACTTTTATGTTGACAAAAGTCTGCCCGAGTTTGATTCAAATTTAAAGTGATCTTTCGAACACTTAACATTTTGGGAAATACATTTATTCACGTTCCTGTTGAGAGTTAAATGAGTAGATTGATCCCACTCTTATACGTGTATGTTAAATAAGAAGCTACAGCTAGCACCTTATTAGCCTATCTTAGCATAAAGACTGCAGGGGGAGACCTGGCTCTGTCAGAAAAAGTAACAAAATCCACCTACAAGTGGTTGTAAAGCTCACTAGTTGATTTGTTGTCAAAATGTTGTATTGGAAGTATAAAAACAACACTTTGCTGATAGCTGTTTCTCCGTGCTTCCAACCTTTATGCCAATTTAAACCAACGTCTGCTTGCTGTATAGCATACAGACATGAGTGTGGTATTGATTTAAACTCACAACAAGAAAGAAAGTATTTCCAAAAATATTGAGCCATTGCTTTAAGTTTGTAGTTTAGTACTTTTCTAAACCACTTCTTCATCATAATCCTCCTCTCAACCATCCATCTGTATGCTCATTATGTTTCAAACTATCACATTTTGCCAAAATACAGCTAAAGACAGCTTCCGGCTGAGCTGAAAGGTGATAGCACAGCATGCAGTCGGTGTACTTAACCATATTCTGGTGAAATGATGAAAACTGAAAGTACTAAAGATATGGATGGACAGTGACGAAACTGATTAGGCTGCAAGTGTATTTGAGACTGCTTTGAAACTTGTCACCATTTGATTTTCATATTACAAGCACATACTCACCATATGTGTCAGAAGATAGATTTTGGGTGGGGTATCGCTTGATAATGCCCACATCCTGCCTACTTCTGCTTTACTCCCTGAACAAAGGCGGGGTTGGAATAATTTGGTGAGTTAATTTACAAAAATATAATTTACTGTATTGTTATTAACTCATGGTTATCAGTTATCAAAACTATAGCAAACTTTCTCTATTAACTGAAACATTTTATTGAATATTGATGGATGGTGGATGTACAGCAGCCCACACAGCACAATACAACTGCAGAATTGGGTAAACTACATTTGGTTTGATTTGGTTCTGCAATTTAAAATCCCCCTGGGTGTTCTGGATCAGAGTTAGAAACCACATAGAACATGTTATGGCCTTAGGAATCACTCAGCAAACTAATTATGTTTAATCAAGATGTGTGATACTTATGTCTTAATTGGTCCTCTGTGCCTGTTCCCATTAACCCGTATGTATATTCCAAGCGTTTTCCACAAAGAGAGAGAGATGAGCAGTTACTGTTGTTTTTACCCACCTTCCAAATGCCTTTCATTTTTGTCAGATGACGCTGGTCTGATCTTGAATCACCACAAAGAAATGTTTGCACCAAAAAGAGAGAGAGAGAGAGAGAGGAGAAGGTATTGCAACATTAATTTAATTTAATCCCCATGTGTACAAAAACTTAGACTTTGGTTCTTCTGATGTGAATTTATGTTCTTATTCTTTGCATGGCGTTTTGGAAATATCTTGGATATATTAATCACAGCACAGATTATTTGTATGGTTTCAAATGGACCTCTGTAATATAAGAAAAATATTTAATTGTAATAAATAATATATGAGTTTGAACATGTGTTTGAGAAATGTTTTTATTTCTTATGTCTCATTGTTAAATACTCTTGAGAGAGTAGGTTGAGAACTGTAATAATAGTCGTTGCCCACATGGTGGCCCACTCAGCCAATATTTTTATATCTTACTGTTTTTTATCAAATGCCACAGTGATCAGGGCAGTAAGATTTTAAAGGGTTTAGAAGAATGATATTAATATTTATGTGTCAAATATTGTATGAAACAGACTAATGCTCCACTGAGAAGGTTTATGCAGGACGAGAAAGACTGTCGATATTAATTGACTACAGGCTTGCAGAATATTTGACGCAGCAAGCTGTATCCACTTTACAAGCTTAATAAGGTTTGTCAAGCTCCTGTGTAATCATGATTGAATCTATTTAACTAATCAATTCTCACAATATCTAGTTCTCGACTCTCCCTCAGTCAGACACATGTTTATTGTTTGTTTGTTCCTTTATCGATACTTTAATTAGATATGCATGTAGATTCCTGCACTGACTGTGACTCCTTTTTGTTGCCTCTGTTTTAGAAAGTTGAACAATGTCAGCAGGAAACTCAAACTTACCTTTCTGTTGCATGAAAAGAGAATTTCAGCAATATAATTGATCTTTATTTGCATTTAAATATACAGAAAAACACAAAGAAAAAAAAGAAAAATTAGCTTCTTTCCCCCTTAAGCCTTTCCTCTTTGTTTCTACGTTTGTAATTCATTCATCTGCTTCCACCTGAAATGATTATGACCCCATTTATCTGTTGAACTGTGTAGATTATGACAGCAAAAACAAGAGTGTGAGCATCCTGAAAGCACCCATGAGGAGACATAAATCATGTAACTCATAATCAGGACCCTGATGAATATGTATGAGGCCTCTGGCACTACTCAATCAGGTTATGAGGGTTTAAATGGCATGAGCAGGTAAATCATTTGCATCTGTAACAGCGAGCGTGTGTGGGTTAAGAGTCTAAAAGTTCAGATGCTTCAATTCGCAGATTATTTAGCAGAAGGGTGTTTGCTCATGCTCAGTGAATGTGCTGTGTGTGTGTGCTATCTCTTCTGAATGTCCTGGTTCTTTTCTGCATTGACAATCAGTAGCCTACAGGATTAGAATTAACAGCACTTGAAAGTAAGAAATAAATGGTAATTTATTGAATTAAATAAATGGTCCATCTTCTGCCACTGATACTCAATGTAAGCTTGACTAAACTGACCTAATCAATTCTATGCAAAACATAACATTGAAATGAAGATATTTGGAACATGATAGATGTTGCAGCGAGGTACTTGAGCTCATGATAGAGCTGTGTGGGAAAAACATACAAAAAAAGGTAGTGAACCAATTTTGATTAAAGCTGCAAGCAGCGATTAACGGGCACTCGCAGTCCGCTGACGGCTGTGCGTGCTGTGGTCGCGTTCAATCAGATGATGGTTGCCATATAAGGCTTACTTCCTGTTTCCAGTAGGTGGAGAATGACATATAGCATGTAGATGTTTTCATGACGGGACTTTCTTCAAAGTTTGGTGGAGATTGTACAGAAGTACACTGAAGTAATGACAACTGTCACAGTCGCTGCTCGAGCCCTAATTGTAGCCCACTTCTTTTGATAACAGCCAGTTGTGACCAATCAAATCAATAACCATGTATCATTGTTTAGACATACACTTAAGAGGAAAAACCACCTTTTCCTCCAAGGCCTCTTGAACAAAAGATTTTCCCACGTGTCAGAACTGTCTGCAGAGGTGAAGAACAGACTTCAAATGTGATTTCCTTCTGTCATGTCAGCTAGCTACATGAGTTGTTACAGTGTTTAAATTACACACCTGTAAGGCTTTCCACAGGCTGACTCATTCCAATTTTGCACCACTCTGCTGTCTTTTGAACCGTTCCTGCCCTCTGTACAGCTGTACACACATAAATGTACTGAAGAAATGGTGGCTTTACCTTTTAGACAGTTTCAGATTATTGTGGCAATTGTGGCTTTTCTTATTATTATTCTTAATTTATAAGCATGTTGAGTGTTGCTGCAACACATTCTGCTTATAAAAAAATGTTAACAGGACAGTGTTTTTGTCTGAATTACATAAGAGGCAGAAGTAATGCTTCCTGATTTTATTCAGATCTGTTTTTGCTGCAACTCTTTTGGTCTGTGCAAAATCCTCTCCACATGAAGACAGAGAAAATCCATTACTTATCTGACATTCAGGATTTTCATGCTCCATCAAAACTCTCACTAATTATTCTGGGTTTTTCATAAACCCCTCCCTACAGTGCATCCTCCAGGTAAAGCTGTGACTCCACGGGAGGTGTTTTTTTTAGAGACTTGAAAGTCTAGAGGGAGAAAAAAATACACTGTAATAGCAAGTGAAAGCCTGTAAATTGTTTTCTTCATCTCAAAATGCCCTACAAGGTTATCGCAGAATTGTCTTGTTTGATGCTTGCTGTTTTTGTATTGTCAGACAGTAAGAGTAGATACCATAGTATTACATATACAAACCAGTACTTAAATTGTTTTTCTGCTCATGTTGTTTCATAAATGACACATGCATAGAATTCAGGGGAACAATCTGAATTGCCTGAGAATGAGAGAGGACCATTACGTCCATTGTATTTATACCCACAGCACACGACTGGTACTTATATATCAAGACCACTGACCATTTGCATGATAAGACTTTGTTAAGCCTGCTTGCATTTGCATTTTCATAAAGGGTGATCACAACACAATCAGACATGAGGATATCAGGATAAATATAAGTAGAAGTATAATTTGCATACAATATATTGCATGTGCACCATCTCATGCTCCTCTTAGCAGAGGTTGCACTTGATATGATATTCAACAAGCAGTCTCATCTTATTTTCTGTTGTGAACTTAAATATTCAGACTGTAGCTCGCCCCACCTTTCACTGTCTGCACTTGACAATCATCTCCCAACCGTCAGTTGCTAATACGTATACGTCTAAAAGGGAGTTCTGGGTGTCTGAAATAAACACCCTCTACCCCAAGCTTTTATGTCAGATGCTCTTTTCTGTGAGATAGAATCTAAGAAAACTAGATCAAGAAAATTAGCCATTTAGAAAGTTTAAAATTAGACCCATTAGGTGGCCTTTGCTTTTGAAAAAGGGCTCCATTCACTCTCTAACTTGTTATGGAATAAAGTAACATCTGTGCTTACAAAGTAATCTTAGCTATATTCTGAGATAATTGCAAAAGTAATAGATAAATGATTGAAATTTGTTAGCTAAATCCATTAATATTAGCTAACAGACACACTCAAACATTATTGTGGTTTCTGGAGTACCAGTATCTCATCATCGTGCTCATAAAGGCGAACTGAAGGTTTCAAAAGATGCTTGTTTTCAGTTAAAAGTGACTTATCTTTCACTAGAGCTGCTCTGAGCTGGTGCTAAAACACAATCAGTAGTACTAGGGATTCAAGTAGTTAAACCAACATATATCATCAACTTTTTATTAGTGTGACAGTTACAAGAAAGAAAGAAGACACAAGTATCTTACATCTACATATGTTAAACATTTGTATACAGTAGGTAATTTGAAACATGCTCCTACCTATCAACTGATTTGAAAAAATTTAACTGGCTATGTGTTTTTCTGTTGTATTTTGCTGTGTTTTCACATTCATATCCAACACAAGTTAATGGTCATCATTTGCATTTAGTAAGCACAGTCGTAAAGTTTCTGTTTTTTATTTCTCTATACATTTTCTCTTAGGTTTATTCACTCTTTACTGTTTCACACATGCTAATAACCAGCACAGATTTTTCCTCTCACCATCTAAAAGTTGACATTTAAACACAGATTTTATACAGTGGTGCGTCAAATGTCACAGCTGCAGCAGAAAGTGTGAAACGCATTCATTGACTCAAGGCTAAACTGAATGACAGAAATACATTATTCATTCATTATCACAGAAACTTTTCATGTTCCTATTTTATCCCCACAAAAACAATGAAATGGGGTGGAAAAGATGATTTAAATAAACCTTGTTTACTGAGTCACATTCAACTAAATATATTTAATATTATACATGTAATACACTTATACAATTATCCTAATACACTATCAGTTGAAGTGGACAGGAATGGCAAATAAACATTTAGATCATTAGATTATATACATAAATAAACCATTAAGTTAGAAATTCCCAATAATATGAATATGTACAACAATTAGATGGAAAAACTACAAGATTAGAGCAAGATCACTGTCTAAAATATATTTTTAAGCTCACAATATTTATATTTATAATATATTTTTAGTGCTAAATAGACTTTCAGTATATAAACATTCATACATTTTTGAAGAATATAAATCATTACGTACACAATTCCCTTTAATCCAAGCAGGCTAATCTGTTTACACCTTTTTTGTCGAAGACAAACTGTACACACTGTGAGTTTTAGTGTTTTTGAATTTCTGTGTGCTTTAAATTCAGTCAGTTTCTCTGTCAGTATGAAGGCTGACAAGATTCATATTGCATCATTTCTGAAGCAGAGATTTCATCTGACTGAGCTGAAGAAAACACCAATGGATAATTTTTTGTGCCTGTTCAATTGAAACAACAATTTAAGCATAGTTGTCCTGAGGACCAGTGTTATTTACAACAGCCCCTGGTAAATCTGCCAGAATGGTGGAGGTGTATAGGCGTGGCACTCTGTGTGACATTGTCAGGATGCTTGAGCCTTGACCCCTATCCTTTCCTTTTCTTCTCCTCCGGGACAGGAAGTGGTGACACAGGCAGGAGAGGAACTTGTCGTGCAATGAGGCGTAAATAAAAGGATTATAGCAGGCGGAGCTCATGGCGAACAGGTGACTCGACACCTGGATGATGTTCACGTAATTCTTCCCTAAGATGGAGAAGTCTGTGTCCAGGTCACGGATCAGATTCACCACCTGTAAAGTTAAACTATGTTAATCAAAGCTTTTATCCAAGGAAAATACCATTTAATTCAAGAATTTAATTCCTTTTCCAGAAGAGTTAACATTTAGCTTGTGGTTTACTTTGCTTATTTTACAGAAACATGTGTTTCTGTGGCTTTCGTGGCCTTTTAATGAGCTTTTAACAAGGAAGTAACATCAATGAGATGATAATGGTGCTTTCACCAGTGAGTAGCTCCACTGTTAAAAGCTACCAGTTTAGTCAGTGACAAGAGTGATTCAGTGTGGTCATTTCAGTCTGAAGATTTTTTGCTTATATCCGTAATGGTAAAATATACACAAGCTACATCAGCAGCCATTAGCTTAGCGGTAGCACAACAGACGTAAACAGGTAAAACAACTATCTTGGCTCTGTCCAAAGCTAGCACCTCTAAAGCTCACTAACCCACATGTACCTGTAAGGGGAGCCACGAGAAGGCAAAACAGAGGACGGACACCAGCAGCAAGCAAAAGGTCTTCCTCCTCCGTCTGCCCCATGCAGCCCTTGCAGATCTCAACTCTGGACATGCCGTCAAGCCCGACGTGGTCCTCTGCTTCAACTGATAGGATATAGCACAGTAGGAAATGGAGACCGCAGCCAGTGGGAGAAAGTAGGAGAAGAAGAGAATGAAACAGGAGTAGATGAGGCGGCCTCGCTCCTGGCCATCCCAGAACTCCTCACACACAGCCATCTGCAGCCCTGCCGCCTGCAGGTCCAGGTAGACAGTGTGTAGGGCTGTAGGTGTGGATAAAGCCAGAGAGGACAGCCAGATCAGGGCCACCAGACCACAGCAGAACTGGCACCCTGCTCTTTTGCGGATGGGATAGGCCACAACCACGTAACGATCCACTGCAATGGCCATGAGGGACAGGACTGCTGCGTAGACGGCTGCAGACTGCATGACAGTAACAAAATGACACATGTGGGGACCAAATACCCATCCACGCTGGTCAAAAGCATAGGATGCAGTCAAAGGGACGCAGAAGATGCACATGACCAGGTCGACGAGCGCCAGGTTGCTGATGAGGAAGTTTGTGGTGTTGTGTCTTTTCTTGTTGTGCCAAATGAGAAAGAGCAAGAGGAGGTTGCCAGAGCAGGCAACCAGGACCACGGCCGAGTAGAGAGGGATGAAGACGAGCTTCAGGTCGTACAGGAGGTCCAGGCCAGAAAAGGAAGGGGCCGAGAATGGGGAGGTCAAGAAGAGGGGATGAGAGGAGTTGCAGCAGGACGAAGAGTCAGACATAGATGGAGATGAAGAAGAGGCTGGAGTAGAAGAGTCCCCCCCGGATCGGTTCAATGACTTCTCCCAGTCCATAGCTGCAGAGGCCAAAATGAATAACAAAGCATTTATAATGTATTTTATAACTTATTGAACAACATTTTGATTCAACACAAAGTGATATCAACATCATGATAAGATATAGAGATTGAAAAAAAGATGAGTCAGCCTTTAGACAGACTAATTAGTGACCATCTTCAAAACTCTCAGCCAATCAATATGATAAGAAAAAGTCCCCCTCAACGATAATACATCCTTTTACTTTCATCTGTCTCATCTCTTCCTCCTCTCCTCTTCACATTACACTTATCAGCCTTTATTCCTCTCTCCCTCTTCAAATCCTTTCCATCTCACTCTTTGACTCATTTTCATAACCAGCTAGCGATCATCGGTCCAGTCCATGTGAGCTTGTTTCCAGCTCTTCTTTTCTTCTTAGCTCTTTCCATATACAGCAGAAATAATATTTTTAGAGTCTGATTCTCAAGACTCTCATCCTTACCATCTGCCGAAACACCTGTACATGTAGACTGAGGTCAATCATCCCGTTATTGCTAAGCAATAGGATCGCCTGGCACCATACAATCACATGTTAAGCCGGAGTGTGAAAATGGGCTTGAATGCTGATTTATTCCACATTTTGCACAGAGGCTTGGAGCTATCTGTTTCTCAAGGCGGTGGCTTAAAGATTTGGTTCATTAACAAAAACCACATGACAGCAATAAAGAGGAAGAAAGTGCCTCAGGGGCTTTTCTATTTCTATTTATCCATCTATTTATCTATTTAAATTTGCAGGATAAGATGAGGATAAATAACATCTGTCTGGGTGGCATCTTTTTTTGTGGCATTTTTTGTATTATCATTTTGTCAGTTCCAGTCATAAAAATACAATGAATCACATTGTATCTACATAACAACAACAATCACTATCTACAAAACAAGTCAAACATAGTCAAATTCTGTTTTAAAGGAAAGCTTCATTATTACATCTGTAAATGAAAAACCTTACTGTAGATCATGAATAAGTGCTTATTAATGACCTACTTAAGCTAAGCAAGACCTCCTGACCACGGCATTAATCATAAAGTTACTGTATTTCCTTTATTAAATTATCAGAATTTTCCAAGGAATATTAGTTACATTTTGCTTTTCTCATGCTGAATCAGCTCATTGTCTAATTGAGCTGAATTTATAAGTGATAAATCCATCTGCAGATAATTCACATACAGCTGTTTGCTATAACTCTTAAGCAGCATGTTTTAAGCCCCAAACCATACAGCCGTATAATTAAACAATTTCTTCCCAAAGAAATGATCTAAAACAAATTTGATAGTTACAGGAGGGCATGAATTTTCAAAAAGTAGAAATTAAAAGAAAGAATACCTCTGAAAGATGTCAGTCAGACATTTTTTAAATGTCTTGAACAATCCAGCGCAACTGTCTGCGTCTTCTGTCTGTTGGGAGTCCCACTATTGTGCAGCTTTACCTCTTCACTGCAGCCCACTCTGCTTCAGAATAAAGAGGTGTGCTCTTTCTCTTTCTCACACAGCATACACTATGTGTTCATGTGAGTGAGTCACATCCAGTGTGGGAAAAAATAAGCTTGTCTGTCATCTCAATCTCACTCATCACCCCCAATGAACAATCATTTTAATATTCTATGATATTCCCCCTGGGAACTTTAGTGCCTCTCTGGTAATAAATTGTGATAACGACCTTGCCCTCTTTATTGTATTTTTATCTGCCATGGAATCATAATAATTTTCCTTTTGGGACTTTTAATGTGTCTGTGGTTTTAAATAATCAATATATAGTGTCCCAGACAATTTATAATTTTTATAATTTTATATTTTATAATATTTTACATGATATTATATTGTATATTTTTTTATATATTGTCAATCATAATGTCTGACATTTTCTGACTTACTAATTGTACATGAAGGAGAAAAAAAAAATCACAAATCATTATCTTGAATAGTCTGTGCCACCACCTGCCCTGAATCATCATTTTTTTAATGCCGGATGTCATATTTCCAGCTGTGCGGTTCTTAATAACAAGGCCATTTTTCTGTAAAACACACCCAGAAACCAACATCAGGGAAAAGACCATAAATTGAACAATTAAATGAAAAAACATGATCTCTCTCCAGCAGTACACATCTTAAATATTCATAAAACTAAAACTAATTTAAAAATTGTAAACTGTCTTGGTATCAAAAGACCAGTGTTGACCGTGTGATTCATCAAGTGAGTATCTGCAGAGGGTAATCCAGGACGAAACTCATTAGCATAGGACTACTTGAAGGGAACGGAGGGCTGATTGTGAAGATAATGAAGATGTCCATGACTTGGAGGACATAGAAAATATTAAGGATTCGTAAAGCAGTTTTATCATTATTTTGTCATTACTTTTACACACATTTGGAATCTCAATAAGAACAACTTTTGTTTTCAAATTTCAGGTTTGTGACAAATAACGGTAGTAAGTGTGGCTCTGTTCTATGTGCATGAAGCATGAAGGGGCTTACAGCTTACATTTCTTTTTGCAACACTGTTATAAAATGATTAAGTTACCTTGATTCTTTAAAAAAGGTTTCAGTCAGTCAGTTTAATGGATCTTTTAATAAACTGAAAGTAGTTTGGTCTAGACCTGCTCTATTTGAAAAGTGTCCTGTTATGAATTGGCACTATACAAATAAAATTGAATTGAATTGAAAGTTCCTCTCTTTCCAAGGTCCAAACAAAGCCATTTCAGCTAAATCACCTCACTCAACACAACAATGACAACAAATGCACAGCTGGTCCACTGAGTTTACAGCTAATACTGGGAATGTGTTGCAATGGATATGCATACTACATGCATACTGTCAGGCTTTGTGAAAGCATGGCAAACTGACCAAACTTCATCGAACACGGACTGATTGAACATGTCGAATCTGACCAGCCATCTCCAAACTGTTTGTTGGAGGGTGTTTGATTCGTGGGCCATGGCCTTAAACAGTTGAGGGGCTCGGGACAGCCACGGTGAATTGGCCTGGCTCTACTCCTTCCTTTGCACCATGCCAATGGAGTGTGCCACATGCACTGTGGAGCAGGCAGCAACCTCATGTGTGTCCATCCACTTCACAAATACAGGTGGGCAATCACGTGGCCCCCTGATGGTGCCTCTGTGATGTGTGACGGGCTTGAAGCCCCATTTAGTTGGTTTCCCTTGTATCTACTGCTTGTACCTTGTCTGGGACTGTCTTGCAACCATCTACTCTCTGATACAGATATTTTGTCCTCGGTAAAAATGGGTCTTGCAGCTGTCTTTAATACTATCACAGAGGTGTAAAAGGCGGTCATGATCCCGTGTACACTTTATCATTTTCACCTGTGTCAAGGTTCCAGGATATCAACCAAAACTTGTCATCGAAGTGGCAGGAAATCTAACAGAGAAGACTGTCCCCTGTCTTCAGTACCTGCAGATGTCTCCCAGTTTCTGGAGCGCTGCTTAGAACCAATACCTCAACATTTGAGGAAATTGCTCTTGGTGATGTCAACCCAGGGATATCTTGGTTCTTTAAAGATGTTTTTCTTTGCCTGTTTGTTGGTGTTTACACATAGTTTTGACTGTGGCTTCAGTGAAAACCAGCTTGAAAATTAGCAGTTTTATCTGTGCCACTCACACCATCAATATTGTTGTTCAAAGATTCAACCTGTTTCCATAATCAGTTTTTCATTATTGTAACTTCCTGAAAGGGAATCCGTTCTTGTAAACTCATTTACAGTACAGTAATGATAAATATAATGTATGATTGTGGAAACTCTGAATCTAAATCAATAGCTATATAGATGAAATATTAATTATTGGGGGTTATTTTAGGTCGATACTATAATATAAGTCAAAATTCTCCATCCTTTAATGTTGGATTGAAGGCAGATTGGACACAACAGTGACTTGCCTCTATCAAAATGGTATTACAAGACAGGACGGGCCGGGGCTAGCTGGTTAGCATGCTAACTTCAATATATATATCTCTGCAACACAATAGCCTACCTCTTTGACATCAAAACTGTTATTTCTTCACATCTTGTTGATAATTTTAGTTAATTCTTACAGCTCCTTTAAATCCATTTTCTTTATTTTATGTTTTTTCCAGGGATGACATTTCAGGTTAAATGGTTACTGAAGCTCATTTTCTCAAGGGACTTCACAGGTGGGTTTCTGTATTAACACCTTCCACAGATGGAAATTACATTTTAATCGAGGATGGGTGCCAATCAAATTTTAATTTCCTGCCATTCAGGGTTTCACACTATTATCTGTCATCACAATACATAATTACCACAAAGTAGGGCTTGTTGAGACCTGGACATTTGGCAAGTCACTAACTAAGTTTCTGAAATAGTAATAATTATAATAAGCATCCTCCAGAATAAGTGTAATAAAGTCCACTTTATTATGTCAAGATAAGTGGCAGAATTTGTTCTCCACTTGAAAGAAAACTGAGAACAAACACTGTTTGACTTGCCTACATTCAATTGATTTCACACTCTCAGTCCTCTGGGTCGTAGAAGATAGACAGCAGGCTAATCAAAAGTATCCCGAAGGTTTTCATGTCCAGGACCCCAACAAAAATTGATTCACATTAGAGGATAAAGCCTTGGCTGCTGTTATTCAAATGAACATGTTTTAAGATTTTCCCAGGCTGAATTGATTTAATTCAGAATAATACTCAGTTGCCAATTCATTAGATAAATCTAGCTAAAACTAATAATCCAACAACACTGCAGGACACATAGCACACTCATACTGTTTCTCAAGCTTTTGGTTGTGAAGTTCTTTATATTTTTTATTTTTATTGACTGTCTCAACACCAAGAATGCTGCAGAGAATTTAATCGAATTTTCTATTTTTCATTTTTTAATAGAAAACTGATAAGCGTTACACGGACCTGCTCCCACATTTCTTTTTAGTGTCAGAGATGAGCCAAAAGCATTACAGTGACTTTCTTTTTTCAGTTTGGAACGATGGTGTTGAGAAAGCCCATACAACCACCATTACTCCTGAACTTTGTCTCCATTACTGATGACAGAGGGAACATTTAGGACAACACCACAACTTGCCTGTCAGCTGGTTTCTGGAGATAGTTTGTACTCAGCTGAAAATTGGCATCTAAGTGTCAACCAGACATCTAAAATATGCTAATATAGATTTTAATATATGTCTTTTAAATTACCCTAAGCCTAATCCTGAAGAGATGTCATTCAGAAGTGATGAGTTGAGAAGATCTTCCCCATTTTTAGAGGTTAGCGTAAAAGTAATAACTCTGAAACAGCTGCTATGGTTTTTACAGAACTAAACCTTGCCAATAAAATGGAAATTGTCATACATTATACTCTGCAATAAATATTTTACATGTTTTCACTCAACTGTAATATTCTATATTTATTAGTTTTTTTGTCATATTCAGATTTGTGAGATAATGACTAATAGTTTCAAAATAATGTTATAATTCAGTTGTCTATGTGTAGCGTCGGTCCATCTGAAGGTAAAAGTAAATACAACCTTCAGACCACTGCTTCACATCACAATAACATACCAACTGTTGTACCATAATGACTGTTATGGGGAGTCATCACATCACATATTGAATTACAAGTATAAGTCAATGCAATAATACCCCATTAAAATTAAATGTTATGCATTGAATTATACACAAGTAAAAGTATATTATATATATATTATATATATTATATATAAAGAAAATGATGTTTCCCTTTCAGAAGAAAGTTTCATACAATCAACATGGCAATGTTTGGACAGAGAAGGCCAAGAGATTAAGCCCATATTAAACAGAAATTATTAGATTATTATTGAAAAATAGTTTTGTCTTTAAATATGTCACATTATAAATCTGTTTTACAGTTTACAGTGTGGCACTCCCTGTGTGGAATCTACTACACTTTGTGAATGAATAAAATTTGGTTCTTTGCTGCCATCTAAAGATATTACAGTCAGAAAGGTAATCCACAAGGGAGAAACCAGACAGAGACACCCTTCTCTTTGTATGTATTTATTTTCCCTAGCCCCTAACCGCAAAATATACATCTTCTAACCTTGTCCCTAAAACACCCGTGTCCTCACTTTGCAAATATGTCCTTACTCTCAAAGTCTTTATCTCAAATAGGTCCTCCTCACAAAGACAAGAAGAAGAACATGCACACACATAAAATTCAGTGCATGAGAAGCTGTTCCTCAGCTAGTTAAATATAAGTGCCCTTGTTTCAGCCAAGGAGCAGACAAACAAACAGAATCAATTCTACTTGTTTTTTATTGAAACATGGGTAAAACTTCACATGTAAAATCAACATGGTAAACATAAAGATGTTACACAATATGTTACAGTATTTTCAGGAATATATTCTTACTCTAGAGGTCCGTCAGAAAAAATGTTTGATTACAGAAAAATAATGTCTCTGCAGGATAATTAACAGCGTACATCATCAGAGTCTAATTTACAACATGAGACTGTGGTCTTAGCATTAGTCTTTGCATTTGTATTGAAAGTAGAGGGCCATTCTTGTAACAGATACTGTAGTCACTACACAGATTACATGTAAGTTCTACTGCAACAGGACAAACAAGTCTAATTTCAAATTCTTCATTATATATTTTTATGGTGTGATTTGTTTGAAGGGATGAATAGCAAGGACAAAACATGTGTGACTGAATAAGTACTTAACACTCAGTTGCTGGGGATACAGAGGATGATGATGGGCTATAATTGCCTCTTTGACCACTGTTAACAAAAGCTTTGGCCAAAACACTGCCATGAGATAATGCAGCTCAAAATGAGCATGGCGGTAACAAGTCACCCTTACTCAATGTGCGCCAAATGAGTTCTTCTTTTAGTGTGACTATTTTAAACCCACTCATTTCTCCGGGCTGTGAGTATCATCTTCCTCGGGGTTGTGTCTCTCTCCGTCCGTGTCCTCCTCGTTCTCTGTCTGGTTGGGTTCAGCTGCTTCCTTGCTCTGAGACGGCCTCAGGAGATATTCCAGCTCCTCTGCGCTGATGGCCACCTTCTCAGGAATCAACCACCTCTTAAAGTGTTCAAGAGCACTGGGGAAGGAGGGGAGGTACAAAAGGATGAGAAGATATCTATTTTAAGGTCTTTACTACACGGGAGACCGGTGTTATCCATGCAACACAAAATGTGAAGCAAATTACACAAACTAACAGCCGATGGAGTTATTTCTGCAACACCTGAAGTTAAAGGAATATATAAAAATATTATATGTCAATATCAATGCAGTATGTGTGTGTAACCCCTCCCTCCCAGCCTACCTCTCATCCATATCACCGCCTTGGAAAAGCTCTGAGGTCTGGGCGTCGTGCAGAAATCTATCCCAGCATTCTTTCTTAGCTTGAGACAACGAGCGCAACATGTCCCTGGAGGTCACATCACTGGACTGGCCCTTTAGTTTCTTCAGGCGGTTCTCTGCACCAAAAAGTAGACATAAATAAATAAATACAATATTTAGCATTTTAAATCAAAATGCTGACATTTCAGGGGCAGTATACACACACACACACACACAGTCCATCAAAATGAAACACATCTCTAAAAGTACCATGCTTTTTTTCATCATCATTTTCATGCATCATCAAGGTGGTTCAGTCTAGATAATGTCATTACAGTTTTTTAAAGCCCAAGGTGATTATATCAAATTGCTGATTTTCTCCAAACACTACTGCAAAATATGAAAATATTCAGTTCATGATTGAATGAGTCAAAGACAAACAGCACAATTAAAGAACAAGAAAACCAGGAAATTTCCTGCATTTCTGTTTGAAAAATGACTTGAATCAATCAACTAATCAATTTATATATGTCATAGTTATAAGTTATAAATCACTAGAGATACTACGTACACAAAAAAAAACCATTCGGAGTAAAATAAAAAGATATAATGCAATAGTAATGTGGTCACAGGTTTACCCACAGTGACATGTTACAGCAGAGGTGGGCCAAGTTTTATTTCATGTAGCAGACACCATCTATTTAATGATGATTATACAATTATCTAAAGTAAAGTATCTACAGCAAAAAAACACATCAGTATCTACACATTTTTATATGAGACTGACTCAAAACTTTTTTTTATTGTAAAGTTTAACCAGTGTTTAGTGTCATTTATATACAAGTTGCATGACACATTTATGGACTCCATGAGGGTGAACCTAACACAACCACAGACATTGAAATAGCTGAAACAGTCTGTAACGTAAAGCATTGCACACTGGATTCATGGATCACTTTGATGGACTGACACACCATCAGGCCTACAGAGAAGGATCTATGTTGGATATATGTGGCTATAGTCTCCTGGATGGAGGACAAGGTGAGCTAAATGTGACCTGAGGCCTACAGTCAACAAAGGCTCAGAAAGAGACAGGACGGACGCTTGTACCTAAGCTGGCTATGTAGATCTCAGAATCCTCCATGGGTTCCCATTTGGCACCAGAAGAACTAGTATTTGTCCCGTTTGACTGTCCATTGATTTGGGTTCCGACTTGTGCTGCTGGCTGGAATGAGTCTTTGAACTCCGGGTTGTTCTCTGGAGCCGCTTCAGCTCGCCCCTCCGGCAGACTGGAGCAGATTTCGGACCACAGCTCCCCGCTGGACCGGACCTCCTGTCCCTCGAAGTCGTCAACCATTGTGGTGTGCTGAGTTAGAACAGATGTCAACATCAGTTTTAAACACCGGTTAGCGGTAGCCTAATATTGTTTTGGCCGGGTTCTTTCAGCAACATCAAGTTGTTCGTTGCACATTGAGAGAAAGGAGAGGGAAGCTGCGCAAATTTCAAAAACAAAGAGCAATCTTAATTAATTTACATAAACATGAACTAGAATTTGTTTAGCCTATTGTGTTGCCTATTGCTGTGTGCGTTTTAAATGTTCTTCAAGCGCTTTGCCCTCATAATAAATGACAAACATGTCTTACCTGTGCGAAAGTCTCAATAGATAAACTGTTATTTCTTCTAATGCATGAATGGAAAGATTAAAGATTAGCCTCGCTAGCTAACTGTGTCCATGGTCCACAATCTTTAATGAGCAACAGCCCACTTCCTTATTTACGGTGATATGATTGGACGCTGTAACCGCCCGTCAAACTGCTTCGAGATGATTGGCTCTCCACAGCTTCGCGTTGGAAAGGCCGCTTCTCATTGGCCAGGCGCTCTGGTTCACTGAGGATAGAGCCCGGAAGCATGTCTCAAGCTGGAAGGACGGATCGGTGACGACTGGCGAGCTACAAAGGTAAACAAGCTCTGCTGACCTCTGATTAATTCTTCTAATCGTGAGCATTGACTATTTTAAGAACTCACAATAGCATTAACAAATGTTCAATGATATTATGCGTTTAAAATGCAACGTTAACTTGTTATTATAGCTGTAAACTATGAAGCTGGATCAGTCAGGTTCAGTTTAGTAAAGGATGTGACATTCAGTTCACTCTGCGGGGGATGATGGACGAAACTAGTCCAAAAACTGTTAACCTTCACTGCCACACAGACGATACAACCACACCTCGGTGTCTGTTGCAGTCAGTGTGTAAAGCAAGAGCTGGTCTTCATGCACTTCCCTGCAGGGAGATCCAGTGTAGGAGATGCGAGCAGCGTTGCGCCTGGCAGTAGTGGCTGTCCCTATGGGTGTGCTGCTGTCCCGGACCATGGCGTGGATGTCCAGTGGCAAAACACACCCGGAGCTCATCAGCAGGCTGAGGGGTAATGAGCTGATGTCTGATATACTGAGATATTTAACTCCAAACCTCAAGCTCCACATTTACAGATATTTAGATATTTTGAGTGTGACAGAAGCTTTTATGGCGTCTTTAATATAATACTGTCTCTAGTAATGTGAATTTTGGCGGATAGAGGAATTCATGATTAACTTACAATACAGTGTCTGTATGGATTGAACACTTACATACAGTATACACACATACCAGTATGCATGCATCTCTACACAGACACACAAGGATACACAATACATGAACAACGTCTCTGTACAACAGACAACATTGTCAAAACAAAAATCAATTAAAGTGTCAAGGATTGCATTAGGATGATACACTTTAGTTTAAGTCTGTTGTGTTTGTACACTGCAGAGAGCTACTTATATATAGGAAAACACAGACCTCTATGGGAAAAAATGGGATTAGTATTGGTATTCAACCCAATGCTGTTTCCATTCTCATTTTCTTTGTATTAATTAGTTTTCACCTCACATTAATAGGAAACCACAACTCACTGGAGTTCAGCCTACACACATATTCCGGTTCAGTTCGCTGTCATTGCCTCGTCTTTTCTCCTCCAGATCATGGGGTGATCCGCAGCGACCGAGTGTTTGATGCCATGCTGGCTACAGACAGAGGGATCTACTCTACAGACTATCCTTACGCAGACTCTCCTCAGTCCATAGGTAGGGTTAGGGTTAGGGTCAGTCAGTGAATATGTTGTGTTTTGGAGTAACAGCTGTTTCCTGAGCACACATTGTGACTCTGTGTTATGAAACTTTCTTATCCCAGGCTACAGGGCGACCATCAGTGCACCACACATGGTGAGTAACAAACACCGAACTGTTTTCAGATGTGAGCAGATATCTTAAGACAAACTATAATTCAGTGATGTAACATACACGTGATGTTTTCCTTTGGGCCTGGTTTGACAGCATGCTCACGCATTAGAGCTGCTAAGTGACAAACTAACTGAAGGGGCAGCGGCATTAGATGTGGGATCAGGAAGTGGATATCTCACTGCCTGCTTTGCAAGGATGGTAAGTTCTATATAAAATATAAATGTTTCTTGCTGCACAAATATCATTTAATTCATATTTCTCACCTAAGTTGGCATAATATACAGTATACGACTGAGTGAAATAGCTGCATTTTTCTGTTGGTTGTAGACAGGACCCAGCGGTAAAGTGGTTGGCATTGAACACATTGATGAACTGGTTCAAATGTCGATAAAAAATGTGCAAGCTGACGACCCAGAACTGCTCACCTCTGGGCGCATCAAACTTATAGGTGAGTCAGGATGTGTCAAAGTCACGCCTCCTTTCAAATGTAGATGTTGAAACTACACGGCTACAAAAGGCTACACAAGTCATACCTACATCATACATCTGTCCACAGTGGGAGATGGAAGACTCGGCTACCCAGAGGGAGCGCCGTATGATGCCATTCACGTTGGTGCAGCTGCAGCTACCGTTCCTAAGTCTGTAAGGAAACATGCAGGATGACTTTTACTCCTGTGAAAGTAGAATGTAAAAGGGTATAATAAGAGAAATTGTGCATTCATTCAGCTGCATCCAAAGTCAACACACAAGACACAGCGAGTTAAGGTTAAAACGCATTGTAGTATATCTACAGTAGAGAAGTAAGTCTTAAACAGTCACTAAACATAATCTTGTCAACTGCTGTAAGCTGGGGGGAACTTTGATATGCAGAGGACACTGACTGAACTAAACTGATCATCTTATATGACATTTCTGTATTTTCTCCTCTCTTTATTAAAGCTCTTGGAGCAACTGAAGCCTGGTGGGCGGTTGGTTCTCCCGGTGGGCCCTGACGGTGGCAGTCAGGTGCTAGAACAGTACGATCGGCAGAGTGACGGGACCTTTCTCAAGAGAGCTTTGATGGGAGTGGTTTACGTCCCCCTGACCGATAAGAGGCGTCAGTGGCCTGGGTATTGCACGAAAACACTTATGACTTATCACTTTTAAACCATGTATGTTCTGACAAACACCTGTACGTTATTTTTAAACATCGCCTCCAACAGTCCAGCATGTTTTATGCAGTCATGAGCCACACGCACCAACATCCTGAAGCTTGTTCCTGATGATATCCATGCTATCCGTCTCTCCCCAGAGGTGAGCTCTGACTGCAGTGTGGTTGCCCCTGCAGGAGGTGGCGTTGGTGCTGCATCTCCGGGGCCCCATAGCACTCCTCGTGGTTTCACTGAGTTCCAGACTTAACGGCCACCTGCCCCGCTGGGTTGTCACCTAGCAACATACAAGAAGGATCTCGCTCTGTTTGCCCGACCTGATTGTCTTCCAAGAGCTCTAAACAGTGAGTGAGTGAATGAGTGACCACCGCTGGACTGATGACCTTACTCCCATAATCCTTGGAGTCAGTTGAAGTGATTCACGGTATTGTTTATGGGTCATGAAGTTCAGCAATGAGAAAAATGCAATAACAGCTTGATGAGGTACAGTTTGTGTTCTGGATGTGGGAAATTCCTAAGAACTGTGTATACTCATGGGAATGCTTTGGTTATGAATGCAGTAACAAATGAAGACAAACCCAAGTAAAAGCCAAGAAACTTAAATGAAAATACAACAAGTTAACAAAGTAATATATATTTTGTGGTAAGAACTTCTTATTTGCTTCATATATTGTATATGTTGGATATGCCTTGCTGACAATCTTACAGAGGAGGCATTGTGCCAATAATATTTTGAAACTATACAAATGTTGAATTACGTGTACACTTAAAAGATTTATCAATAAAACCTACTAAAAAGATACTTGATTGTTTTTCTATTTTTAATGATTATTAATGCATGAGGGTCAGGAAAAGCTACAGGAAGGACAAGGAAGAATTCTTTCATATTTTGAATGAGAGTACACTACATTTAATACATTTCTATAGGTAAACACTCATATAAAAAAAACACAAATGTTATCATTGTCTGCAGAAGGAAACAAGCTGCTGAGTGCCATCTGGTTCCATTACATTTGAGAGATTATTTCCAAAACTAGGCAGCTCACTCCAAAACTAGATAGATAGATAAATAGCACTACAGGTAGGAGAAGAAAATAGACATTTTTGACTTTGGGGTGAACTGCCCCTTTAAGGCATATCTTCTGATACCTACCAGTAATGACTGTCATCCACATGATGAAGCAGCTACTAAATACACATAATGAACAGTTGATGGCGATAATGCCCCGGTAAGTAAGGAGGTGATCTGCACCTAAGGACAAGAAGAAGAAACAGAAGGGTTGAAACCAGAGCCCGTCTACGGACAATCTCTGCTTGAAACTACAAATTAGACTGGTTGTGCTTGTGTCATCACAGTGCGCCGTTACTTTGACGGACCCCTAGCTAGAAAACAATGCACGTGAGTGTTTCGTTTACACCTTTTAGAAAATATAAGTGGTCTTTCCTTGCAGGTCTAGTTAACAGGCGTGTGAATAGTAACGCACATTATCACGTTAGTGGGTTTTATTGCGTGTACGCTCCCTTGAGTCGTCCTTTTCCCTCCTCACGGTGTCAACAGAGAAGCTCGACGATGGAGCAGGCAGCCGCTGAAACCCCGGCCGAGGTGAACAGCCTGGAGTCAGCGGGCAAAACCCCGACGAAAGAGGCGACAGAAACAGCCAAACGCAAAAGCGACGAGCTGGACCAACCCGAAACCAGGGGCCGAGGGAAGCAGCGGAGAGGAGCGGGAGGGAAGAAGCTGCGTCCGGGCGAGAGATACATCCCCCCTCCGCAGAAGCGCAACCCGGGGGTCAGCTTCAACCAGGAGCACTTCAACGAGACTTCTTACTACTTTGAAGGTGGTCTGCGCAAAGTGTATCCATACTACTTTGACTTCAAAAGCTACTGCAAAGGTCGTTGGATTGGGAAGACCCTCCTGGAGGTGTTCAAGAAGGAGTTCAGAGCGGAGTCCATGGAGTATTATCAGAAGGCGGCCAAAGAGGGTCGCATCCGGCTGAACGAGGAACCTGTGGAGGACCTGTCTGTGGTGCTCAGGGTCAGTGTCACCGGTGCATGTGTATGCTTATGTCTTAAGTTCTCAGCAGTCTAGGTCCAAATCCTAATACTGCTATTTGATGATTAAAAATGATTTATTGTTTATTTGAAATAACAACTGGTGCTGAATGGTGAGTACGCCAGCAGGTGACAAGTTAACATTTAACATTGTGACAAAAGCTATCATTTTTTTCCTGACTCTCCACAGAATAATGACTACTTGAGGAACACAGTGCACCGCCACGAGCCCCCTGTAGTCGGGAGACCCCTGAAGATCCTGGTGAACGATGGTAAAGTGCTTGTGGTCGACAAGCCC